ATCTATCTATCTATCTATCTATCTATCTATCTATCTATCTATCTATCTATCTATCTATCCGAAATACCACTTACGCATCATCACAAAATCTCCAGAACTATAAAGCCTACAAACTTGAAATATGGCAAATATGGCTTCTAGGTTCTCACTAAGAAAGGATTTTTCAAAATGACCATCAGAGCATTAGTATTTCCTATATTATTATTAACACACTCTGATGCTAAGGACTTCTACTTCCCCTCCCCAACTGAAAAGAAATCTCTTCCAAATGCAAAACACAAGCAGAGGAGAGGAGTTTCAGTTTTAGTTTCACAGCACCAAGCAGCTTTAGTACAGAACAGTTGAGCTAAGACACGCTCAGGCTCCTTGCTGTCTCCTTCTTGCTCACATATCAAATACTGTTTCACTTTCCAAACAGCCCATCAACTCTCTCACACACTGACATGATGCTAGCCAGATGAATACCATGGATGCTGGTAGGCAGAGGCAGAATTTCCCCCCCTTATTTTCCTCCCCAAAACCTAAGCCCAACCACATAGTTTCGTAGCGAAGCACAGATATCGAGTAGTGTATGTATATTTAGATAAATTTAAAATGTGACAATAAAGCAATCATGCAACTATAAAGCCACCCTCTCCTTCAAAACAAGAAGATATCTAAATACCTGGAACATGATGGTTTATTGTCTACTAGCTCCTTTTCTTCCACTGCAGCTTCTGAGATCTGTTCTCCTTTCTCTTTTGGCTCTTCCTCCTTGCTGGTAACAGCCTTATTCATTTCGGGAGATTTTTCATTTGGAGTTGCTTTTCCAATTTCATCCTTAGGTTGTGCTTTGCGCCATCTTGGGGTCACGTCAGCATCATAAACAGGTTTCCGGAAACCGGAGCTCATAAAATGAGGAGTCGATAATTGGGATGACATTCTCTGCTGTCTGCCTCTTTCATTGCCATCATTGCTAGGTTTCAGAAATGCAGCTTTCACGGAGCTTGAGAAAGGCTTCTCATAATGATTTAATTGATGATGATCTTTTCTGGTTGTACCAGTCCAGTTTGCTGCTGTAAATTCTTTACTTGGCCTTGATTTTTTGGTTTCTGTCTGTTCGTTTCCTCTGTAATTTTTTGGTTCCTCAGAATATGCTTTATCATACTTCTCTTTAAGTGAAAACCTTCCTAGGTTGTTTTCCTCCTGCTTCTCTTTATCATCCCTTGAAGTACGTTTGCTTTCTGAATATTTGCATTTTTGCCAGTCCCTTCTATCATTTTCTTTGTGGACTGCAGCTGTCTCAGCTTCTCTTAACTTGGACTGAAATAGCTCCACGGACTACAAGACAGAGGAAAAAGCACATATTATTTGTATAAAGAAAATACTATTAAGATAAACACATGAAAAAAAAAACTGTAATGTTAACTTTGAAATGAACATCATTTGAAATTGCTGAGTTTCACAAACCTGGTGATAAACTTATGAAATATTTCATTTTTACCTAAATGTTCCCTCCAAGAAACTCAGGATTTCAATCACTCTTTTTATGTGTCAAATTACTTAGTCCTTTGTTGATTTATTCTAGTGAGCCTCATAGTTGAACAGAGGAATTGGTTTACTTATCAATCAATTTAAGAGCTGGCTCAATCATTCAAGAAATTCTAGGTGACATAAAATAATTAATAAATATCTTTTAAAAATCAAAGAGAAAAACCATAACAGCATTGAACACCATGTCATGGAAAATACCTACAACTATCAAATTAAATATCCAATCTTAGCTGCAGGAACATGTCAATTGTGCCAAATCTTAAAAAACAGGTAGAAATGGAGAGGCATATCTAACCTTACACTGCCTCAGTGATTGGAAATAAAGCCAAATCTTAAAGGTATTTCAGAAGGCTAGAAAGGTAAGGCCCTGTAGGATCTCAGGGAGAAGAGTACAGGTAGCTCTTGAGTTACAACCACAACTGAGCCAGTTGCTGATTGAAATATTTGTTTTGCCCCATTTTACAATCTTTGTTGCCACAGTTGTTAAGTGAATCACTGCAGTTGTTAAGTTAGTAATGCGATTGTTAAGTGAATCTGGCATCCTCAATGACTTTGCTTGTCAGAAAGTCACAAAAGCTGATCACAGAACACTGCAACCGTCATAAAAATGAACCAGTTGTGAAGCATCTGGATTTTGATCGTGTGACCATGGGGATGCTGCAACGGTCATTCATTGTGAAAAATGGTCATAAGTCACTAAAGGAATGGTCACTAAATGAACTGTTGTAAGCTGAGAACTACCTGTATTAGGCATGCATAAAGTTCATTTTAAGGTCTTATTCTTTGTTATTTTGGTATTTGTGAGGCAACACTGACCATCCCAAATAATGAAGCACATTTTTATTCGTCTATGTGTTATTTAAGACATTGTTTTATTGATACTTTATTAAGAAACGTCATTTTTTTCTATCCTGCACAAATATTTTCACTATTATCATCCCCTCAGCACTTACCCCATATCTTTCAGCTACAATTTCTTCCAAGTCTCGTTTTTCTCTCTCTGATTGCTCCTTCATTCTCTGGTAGGATTTCCTTAGCCAGCTTAATCCACCATCGTCTACTGTTGTTGCTACAGAAAAACGATAGTAAATTACAGTATTTGCATTCTGAAATGTAATACAATTAGCTAAATAATCTTAGTGCTAACTGCATATGGTATGTTTCCATTGCAACATGTTAATCCAGTCATATTCTTAACAATAGTACATTTATCCCATTTGTGTTCATGTTCTTACATGCATTTGAAAACCACAGTCTACCTAATAGTCTTTAAAAATTAGTCCACTCTTGAAGGTGACAGAGAGACAGTGGAAGTAATGGATTTGGTAACTTGTAACTAGCCACTTTTGTAGCATATTAAGTGGGTAACTACAGGGGGACAATATTATTGCGTTTTTAACTTGAATAACTAGGAACATATAATGGAAATGCATGAGAAAAAAAACTCAGCAAGAAAGGTAGTTGTAATAAAATAAATCTTAGGGTCCTTTCATGTTATAATGAATTTTTATTTAGACATCTAAACATATAAAGTTCAACTCTTGACACATGCAATTTCAGTTTCTTTCTTTCGGCACTTTAACATTTAAGTAACTTGAGCTGTAAACATTGTGAAGTTAGGCTTTTTCCATCCTCTATCACTATTTGCCATTCAGCAAACATCTCTACCATTTAGCACACCACAGAGTTTGCGTAATTTTATAAATAGTATTGTACAGATGAGGGTGGGTGCACACCCACACACCCACACCCTTGTATTTGCTCTTTCCAGAAGAAGGGTTACATAAATAATATTCTGCCCCAATAGTAGCCTTGGTGTACTTTATTTAAAATAGGATTCACAAAGTTCAGCCCCTGAATATTTTAAAGGTGCAATTTGTATAATGGAATGAAACGGCCAAATGAGATGACAACAATTCATCATGTCTGAGTACAATCTGCCTTTTTTTTTAATTAGTTCATGATGGATTCTGAACATTCTGAAGGTCAAGCTCTAAAGATTAGAAGAAAAAGAAATGAGTTAAAATATTCTGCGGTTATGAGGTACAATTTTAATGAAGGTAATCATTACCATCTAATATTAATTATATTTTATTTTAGCATCAACATAGTAATGAAGATGTGTGTGTGTGTGTGTGTGTGTGTGTGTGTGTGTGTGTGTGTGAGAGAGAGAGAGAGAGAGAGAGAGAGAGAGAGAGAGAGAGAGAGAGAG